CGTCCACCCTCCCACCACCCTGCCTGCCCGCCGGCCTCCAGCCTTGCTGTGATTGGAGCCTGTGGGCCACAGGGGAGGGCCCGAGAGGTGCTCCATGCACCTCATGGTGACCAGTCGTTTGGTCATTTTGGTCGTGACACCTCTTGGCCTTTTATTATTATGACTAGAGGCCCAGTGCACGGATTCATGCACCGGTGGAGTCCCTCGGCCTGGCCTGCACCCTCTCGCAATCCAGGACCCCTCGGGGGATGTTGGAGGCCTGGTGCACAGATTCAGCCCGATCCCTGCAGGCCAGGCCAAGGGACCCCTCCGGTGTACGAATCCATGCACTGGGCCGGTTTTGGCCCCATCCCTGCAGGCCATGCCAAGGGACCCCACAGGTGTAGAATCAGTGCACCAGGTCCCTAGTATGCATAAAATATCTTTGGTTAATCTCTTCTTGCTCTCTCCCTTCCCCTTCCCTCTGAGATTCATCAGTCTGTTACATGTTTCCATGCCTGTGCATTGAGCGTCTGTCCTGATGGTCAGTGCACATCATAGCTACTGGTGAAACGATCACTTAAGCTTTTATGCATGGAGATAGATTTGTGGAAGACTGCATTCAGACTCTGGTTATGGAAATTAGATATGTAGGTCACAGTGGCCAACTATGGCCCATCGGCCATTCATTTACTACTGCCTATGGCTGCTTTTGCATTACAACAGCAGAGGTGAGTAGTTGTGAAAAATACTGTATGTTTTTAAAACTAAAAATATTTCATCTCTGGTCATGTATGGAAAACATTTTCTGAGCCCTGACATAAACAATCATGCTCTCTGAGCTCCTCAGTCTAAGGGCTCACTCTGCCAAAGAACTCATCTGCCCAAATTCCATACCCCTCTGCCTTCCATTGCATGGTCCACTCCTGGTTTTCCTCCAGTTCTTCTCACTGGCTTTTCGTGGTGTTTTTCAGGAGGGGGCGTAGAATGGGAGGGGATGGCCTGGTCCTGTTTTTGCCCTGTCCTTTATATGTAAACTATTTTCTAGGTTTTCTCATCAGTCCTCTTTCCTGGACCACAACTATCACCTCGATACAAATGACCCCTAAATCTGACTCTTCTCAAAAGCCTATATCCAATTGCATAGATGTCTGTCTACCTAGGGAAATCCACTTGAGACTCAGCACATCCAATACGGAACCTGTGCTCACCAGAAACATGCTGCCCTATGATATGTTATAGCCAACTCCCAGACTGGAAATTCCAGCTCCTGTCTCTCAATCTAGGTCATTTCTAGTTAGACACCAAGTTCTATGTCTTCTACCTCATGATGCCTCTCAAATCACACCTGCTCTTTCCACTGCCACTACCACTGCTCGAACAGGCCTGGCCCATCTCACCTGAATGTGGCAATAGTCTCTGTTAAGGGAGAGATGAGATAGCAGTGCCCATAGAGAAGGGGACTCAGAGAAGTGAGAAATCTCTCTAAATGCACATTATCCCATCTGTCACTTGCTCAAAAACCTTCCACATCTCTCCATGACTTTAGAAATGAACACCGCTCCCCCCCACAAAAAAAAAGAAAGAAAGAAATGAAACCCAAAGTCTTTATTGTGACATTCAACATTCTCTAAGAGCTGAGCCCTGACCATCATCCTGGCCTCATTCCTCAGTCCTCTATAGCCCATGAGAACCCACATCCCAGCCAAACAGGATTATCTGTGATGCCCTAATACACTCTGTACTTTTCCCCCTGCAGCTTCTGCTTCTCTTGCTTTTGCCTCCACTCGAATGCTCTTTTTTCCTCTAGGAGAACAAGTAAGCAAGAACATCAAGGGATTTTTTTCTTAACCTGACAAGGGATACATCATACCAATGTTTTTTTATAAAACTACAGTCACTATGAGGCACAAGAGCAAAAGGACTAAGTATGATGACCTTTGAGTCAATGACTGGGTTTCAAGTCCCAGTCTGCTGTTAACCAGTTGTATTACCTCTTTAGGCCTCAACACTTTAGGTCATCAGTAAAATGGGAACAATAATCATACATACCTCCCAGGATGGCTGGGAAGATGAAAAGAGCAAGCAAGGAATGTTAGACACACAGGAGGTGCACAATAAGCATCACTCCTTTGGTTATAACATTAAAAAATATGCTATTGTTTGAAATTAAAATTCAAACAAATCTATGATTCTTTACATGTACTAATATACCTATAAAAAATGATTGAAAATGACTGAGCCCCCCACCAGCTGGTTTGTGGGACTGCTGGAGACACAGTACATTATTACAATCCCTCTGGTAAATAATTTTGCAATGGACAAAAAAAAGAGCCATAAAACTTATCTTACTTTGATCTTCTAGTCTCATTCCTGAGGTTATTTCCCCTTGGAGGGCAGGAGTAGTTACATGTTATCTACTCCAAAACCGTGTCAGCAGTACTATTTGTAAGAGCAAGTCATTTGAAACCATCTGATATGTTCATTAGTTAGGAACAAGCTAGGCAAATCCCAAGAATAGCGGAAAGGCTTTGGGCCTGGCATGCTGCCTGTTACTCACAGGCCTTCAACAAAAGGCCTTTCCTTTCCCTTTTCTCTTTATAGTCTATGTTCCTATTTAGTATTGTTGATAAATCCATGAATGAATAAAAGAATAAATGAATGAACTGCCTAAAATATATGTTAAACTAAATGCCCAGAGGATATATCTTTAAAAGGCAGAACATTTAAAGACTACCATGCAATTTTTTTATGTCTCAGGATCAAAGTGCTTCCATGTAATACATATTTAAAATTATAACTACAGACTATAGAAACAAATTATTTTAATTAACATTAAATCACTCCAAACTTTTACGAGTGCATAAAAATAAATAGCACAGTTTCGCTTCCTAAAAGTTATCAGACTCTGCCTTAAACTTCAACACAATCCCAGCCAGGCTGACATTGATGACTTGCCATGAAGAAGAGGATCAGCTAACACCTGGAATGTTCTAAATATTACCATGTAGAGCAAAAATGGGGACAAAAGAAAGTAATTGAGTTCCATTATGGATGAACAAAAACCAATCACATGTAGTTTCTAGAGAATGCAGTCCAAAAGAAACCAAAAAAGCAAAAGTCGAGGTGGGGCTGGTTATCTTGGCAGCTGTTATTAGTAAGTGCTGCCTATTTGGGGAGGTACAAAATGTGATCTCATCACTTCTTTCTGCTCTAGAGAATCCAATTTGGGTCTATTTTTCTTCCCTTTGAGAGCTTGTGCTTGGTTCAAGACCATTTTTCCTGGCAGTAATATGCAAGAAATAAAAAAGGAGACATATGACCTCACCTGCTCCAGTACCTTCCAGAGGCTGAAAGAGAGCAACACTTCCTGTGCTTTGTTTTCTTTAGCCTGATTCATTTCACAATAATGGAAAACACATTCCCTCAAAATAAGGGAACTACAAAGTCTTGAATACACCTGAGGCTCTGTGTTGTACACATTTACCAGCATGGATAGACTTTCTATCTTTATTAATTATAAAGGATTCCAAGAAAAGCAAATTTATATATTCCAACCAGTTACTTTTCATCTTTTTTGGGATTGCATACCCTCTGAGAAGCAACTGAAAGCTATGGACTTTTTTCCTAGAAAATGCAAATTGACTTACACACACCCTATACATACCTTATCCACAGATATTTTTGCAAGCATTTTAGGGATTCATAAATCCCCTGAAGGTAGTCCACAGTACTGAAATTAAAAATTCCTATCATTATTTGCAGACGACAAAGAACTATATAAAGAGAACCCTAAAAATTCTACTAAAAAACTATTGAAACTGATCAATGAATTCAGTAAAGTAGCAAGGTACAATATAAGTATTCAGAAATCGGTTGCATTTTTATACACCAAAAATGAATTATCATAAAGAGATATTGGGAAAACAATCCCATTCACAATTGCATCAGAAAAACAACCTAGGAATAAATTTAACTAAAGAGATAAAAAACTTGTACTTGAAAAATAAGACATTGAAGAAAAAAAACTGAAGAAGATACAAATAAATGGAAGCATATACCATGAATAAGAAGAAATAACATTGTTAAAATGTCCATACCATCCAAAGCAATCCATAGATTCAATAGAATCCCTATCAAAATACCAATGGTATCTTTCACAGAACTAGAACAAATATAAAATTTATATGGAACCACAAAAAGCCCTGAATAGCTACAGCAATCTTGAGAAAGAAGAACAAGTATCACACTACCTGATATCAAACTATATTTTCAAGACTATAGCAATCAAAATGTCATATACTGGAATAAAAACAGACACATAGATCAACAGAACAGAATAGAGTGCTCAGAAATGAACCCATACCTATATGGTCAATTAATCTATGACAAAGGAGGCAAAAATATACAATGGGGTAAAGACAGTCTATTCAATACATGGTGTTGGGAAAACTGGGCAAATACATGCAAAAAATAAAACGAGGCCACCTTCTTATATCATATACAAGAATAAACTCAAAATGAATTAAAGACCTAAATGTAAGACTTGAAACCTTAAAACTCCTAGGAGAAAACATAAACAGTAAACTCTTTGACTTTGCTCTTAAAATATTTTTTATATATCTCCTCAGGCAAGGGAAACAAAAGAAAACATAAGCAAATGGATCTATATCAAACTAAAAAATTTTTGCACAGTAAAGGAAACCATAAATAATCACAGACACCTATTGATTGGGGGAAGATATTTGTAAATGATATATCCAATAAGGGTTTAATATCCAAAATATATAAGGAACTTATATAACTTAACACCAACAACAAATAAACAAACCAAAAAAAAACCCAATCCAATTAGAAAATGGGCAGAGGACCTGAATAGACATTTCTCCAAAGAGAACATACAGATGATCAATAGATATATGAAAAGATGCTCAACATCAATAATCATCAGAGAAATACAAATTAAAACCATGAGATATCATCTCATACCTGTCAGAATGTCAATCAATAAATCAACAAAGAGTAAGTGTTGGCAAAAATGTGGAGAAAAGGGAACCCTTATGCACTGTTGGTGAGACTGCAAACTGGTGCAGCCACTATGAAAAACAGTATGGAGAGTCCTTATAAAATTAAAAGCAACTCTGCAATTTACTTCCGGCTATTTATACGAAGAACACCAAAATACTAATTTGAAAAGACATATGCACCGCTACATTCATTGCAGTAGCCAAGATATGAAAGCAGATGATGGATAAAGAAGATGTGGTACATATATACAATGGAATATTACTTGCTCATTAAAAAAATGAAATCTTAGCATTTGTGACAATATGGATCAACCTAGAAGGTGTTATGCTAAGTGAAATAAGTCAGACAGAGAAAGACAAATACTATATGATTTTAGTTATATGTGAAGTCTAAAGAACAAAATAAACAAACAAAACAGAAACAGACTCATAGACACAGAACAAACTGAGGGTTTCCAGATGAGATGGGATTAGGGAACTGGGTAAAAAAGGTGAGGGTATTAAGAAGTAAAAATTGGTAGTGGCAAAATAGACATGGGATATAAAGTACAGTATAGGGAATATAGTCAATAATGCTATAATAACTATGTATGGTGACAGGCGGGTACTAGGAACAATAATAATAATTCCTGTTCTAATTTATTCTTTTCAAACAGAAAAGTTTAAAATTACTTAGGTAGTTTGAGTCAAAAGAGACAACCTACACATTTCAGAACCTGAAGATAAAGTAGAGATCTGTCCTTCAATTATTTTTAAATGTCAATTATAACATTTTGTTTCTTTGTATCAGTAGAACTCTCTTTTCAAATAAAATTTTCAGAACACCAATATTCAAAACAGATAAAAATAAAGCTATTCTAATTGATAAAGATGCAGGCGACTGGATCCCCATCCTTTTAGCTGCCCCTGAGGCACCTCTGGCTCACCAGCAATTGAAAAATACTGACCTGGGCCTGCTCTGCTAGTCCACGGAGACTTACCACAGTCTCCGGTCTTGTCTGTGCCCAGCTACTCCAAATGAGGCAACAATCTCATGTTCAGATAACAATCTTAACACCAAAGAACCCACCTATTTCTTTGCCCAGTTGAGAGGACTTCAGAGATCCTGCTGATGAGACGACAGCACACCTGCCCCATGGCCCAGCCTTGGTCCTAATGTTCTCCTTGGGCAGGAAACCCTCCCATTCAGAAGTATTGAAGGGAAAATCTGTGGCCTCTACCATGGATACGTTCACTTGGTCCCGAAGGTGGCAGCGCAGGGCCTCTGCACTGAGCTTGATACCAGGCCCTGGTCCCTTGTAGGACACATTGTACTTGTTCATGCTCAGATAATTCCTCCAGATCTTCCGCAGCCTGGGGATAATGTTTTTGGAAGAGCTGTCTTTGTTCCACACCTGGAAGACGGTCTCTAGCTTGGTCTTGGCTGGATTCTTAGGACTGCCAACGGCCTGGCTGCCCCGGTGGGGGTCCTGGGTTTTGCTTGAAAGTGCAGTCTGGGAACCAGACCCCAGGGCAAGTTTCTCCAGGCCCCTCATCATTTGGAATTCCTTGGTTTGCAATTTAATGGAATCATCATAACTCCCTTTCTTCTTCTCCTTCCACATACAGATGACTGCAAACAGGAGAAAGACCAGCACACAGCAGCTGAATTTTTTCTTCAAGTTGGTGTGAATCATAATGAAGGATGCATTCAAGGGAACCACTCTGTTCTGAGCAGGAAAACAAGCCTAAAAAAGTAAGAGAAGGCAAAAAAAAAATGATGTAAAGGAAATCGACAAGTGTGACTGGCAAGAGGCAGGGTGACAGGCCGAGCAATGGATTTAGAGTGACAAGATTTGAATTCCACCAGGTCTGCAGCTGTCAAAAAAGAAAAAAAAAATCCCTCTCAGTTTGGGTTTTGAATGTAGAGAACAGTCCTCAGACACTCCCTTCCTGTTTGTGTTCTCTGTGATTCCTCTTTACACTCTGAATCTTAGTTTCCTCTTGTCTTGGTCTAGCTCCCCAACTGCACTCTGCACTTCCTGACGTCAGGAATCACATCTCAGGAATCATTAGGTTCCTAGGGCCTTACACCACCTGTTAATTAAGGCCTGCATGCTTGAAAAATAGAAGAAAAGGAAGAGCAGGCTAACTGGTCTAAATCACAACAACCCAAACTCTCTAAAATCCTAAGGGGCTCAGAATCCTAAAATTACCAGAAAGAGATCTCTCGCCACAAACAGTGCCTCAAGAGTCTAAGCAGTGTTGGACTCCAGAGTGAGAAGAAGAGCTAGGGTTAGCTTTACGACAGAACACTGAAGTTTTATGGAGTGCCTTGTGAGAGTGCTATCAAGTGTTGGGAAGCTGGCTAACCTCACGGTAAAGGATAGGAAATCTTGGTAAGATAGCAGATAAGTGACCAATTCAGGAAATGAAGCACACAAAGATGAATTAAGCACACAAGATGTTATTTTATTTAAGGTCACCATAAACCAGGGCCACTGTGATATACAACTCCAGCAAGGACTATATATCTACACTAATAAAAGAGAAACATGGTAATTAGCGTACGACCACTGCCGGCAGCCATGCACTGAAGCGAACAGGGAGGCATGCTTGCTCCAGGGACTGCGGACTCCAACGTTCCCCGCCTAACTTCCTGGCCTCTCAGCTGCAACTCTAAGCAACTATGTACTATGTTGCAAATAAGAAGCTAAACAAAACACCAGAAACCGGCTTTCAGTCAGCTGGGCTTCAGCCAGCCGGACCGCAACATTGTATCAATGTTTTCAGCAGCAAGGCCTCAGAGCTAAAGCTGGCCCAAAATAAAAAAAAAAAGAAAGAAACAAAGGAGCAGTTGGGAGCTTCAGTCACCTGCCAGCCGGAAAACGGCCATCAGCCCCTCACCCAGACTGGCCAGGCACCCCAATGGGGACCCCCACCCTGATCCAGGACACCCATCAGGGCAAACCAGCCGGCCCCCACCCGTGCACCAGGCCTCTATTCTATATAGTAAAAGGGGAATATGCCTCCCAGCCCCGGGATCAGCCGAGCCGCGAGGCCTCCCGGCACCGGGATCAGCGTGACAGGGGGCAGCGCCCAAACCCCCTGATCGCCCTGCGGCTCTGTGTGTGACAGGGTGCGGTGCCCCAACCCCCTGATCCGCCCTGCTCTGTTCGTGACAGGGGAAGGCGCCCCAACCCCCTGATCAACCCTGCTCTGTGCCTGATAGGAGGGAGCTCCCCAATCCCCTGATCGCCCTGTGGCTCTGTGTGTGACAGGGTACAGAGCCCCAACCCCCCTGATGGGCCCTGCTCTGTGAGTGACAGGGGGCAGCGCCCCAA